CCAGGCCTTACTGGAAGACTGAATAGTGACGGTGAAGACCAAGCTGTGCTGTAAGAACCCAAGAACCCCAGAAAGGGCTCCTGAGCCCTCCGCACAGCATCGGTGTGACTTGTACAGATGTGGCTTCTGAACTCCGTTCTCATTCTCCAGGCGCTGCAGGCCCGGCCCAGCCCGGGGCACTGCCACATGCTGTTTTCTGTAGCGCTTCCAAATACATCAAGCAAGAGGGACACCCTGGTTACAAACAACCTTTTCAGATTTTTCTAGGTTGATTTTGGTATCCACTTCTGCCTGGTAAGGAATGGGTCAGATGTAGAAAAAGGTGAAGGACTTGGCATCGTGTGTGGTCGGAAATCCACTGTGGGACTGGGATGGATTTAACTGAAATGGGTGGTGGCAGCAGCATTTCAACAGGAACTTGGCTGCACTTGCATTTTGAGTCTAGTTACCAAAACACTCATCATGTGTAATGCATTGTGGTAGCTTCCCCAGTAGATTCCAGGTACTCGAGGCTTGTGGTCAGGTGCATCCAAGCAGCATTCAGGAAACCAAAACTTACTTTTAAGTCCCTCATCATTCGCTTACAGTGATTTCAGATTTATCACGTGGCTGAAGAAGGCAGGTTCTCCACTGACCTTCGAGCCCTTGCCTCTCTGTGCTCCGAGGCCGCCCCTCCCCGCCATCTGCAGGGTTTGATGTGTGTTGGTCATTACCGGGCACAGGCAGCCTCGGCCCACCTGTGTGGGCAGTGTTTGTGAGTCATTTTAAAAGGGTGTGCTGTCTGCTGTCATTAAAGTCTGCGTGGCTGTGCAAACGTGAAAGTGTCTTTTGTCAAAGCTGACTTTTCTAAATAAATATCCTTTAGGACTCTCCTTCCTTCTTTACTCTCTCATTTTTATGTTTGTTCGTAATATCTTAAGTTGGCTTTCAGGGTTTTTTTAATAACAGGAACATCTAACGATTGCTAAAAATCCCAACACAGGCATGCATAAAGCAAAGCAAAAGTGCCCCCGGAGGGACACCCGCTGACAGCCGCCCGGCACGTGCAATCCCACACAGTTCTGGAGGCGCCCTGCACCGTGCATCTGGTTCTGCGGGTTTCTTCTTGCTCCGCTGTACGGAGGAGCATTTACATCATGCTGTGACATCTGACTAGCAGCACCCGCGTGGGCCCACGGTCGGGCAGAGGTGCTTCCTTCTGTGGCCGTGCGCGCAGCGTGTCCTCGGCTTCACTCCACATGGTTCTCGTTGCAGCTGTGCAAGTTCGTTGGCAAACAACGTCCTGGAAGCGGAACTGCCGGGTCAGACCGCGTGCCCCGGACGTCCAGCCAGAGGCCTGGTCCTCGCCGCGGATCCTCGGCTGGCCTGCTGCCTCAGGCCGGGAGGCTTGAAGTCCGAGTTGCTGAATCACCTCCCGGAGCTGAAGAGAGAAACCCGTCCCGTCTACACAGAGCACTTGACCTCTGCAGGAAGGGCTTGCCTGTGCAGGAGCCCCGGCACGGGGACTGCCCGGTAGATAGGTTCTGTCAGCATCTTCGCAGCTCTTCAATTTAAGTCCTGCCTGGGAGAAAGCAAACTTCAGGGACTTGTCTGCAATGTCTCTGTGCCGCTCACCGTACCTCGACTAACCCGAGAACAGGTCGTGGGTGGGTCGGCCCTAAGGGCAGAGGCAGCGCCTGTGAGGACGAGCACTGGCCACCTGGTGTCTGCACAGGTCGGCGTGCAGGGGACCGATGTGCACGGGGCTGCTCGCTCGCAGGACAGCTGGCACTAAGCTGCTTAGAGTGCAGGAAGCCGCCATCTGCCTGAGGGAAGCCCGGGCGTCTGGCTGGGGACGCCCTTGGGGTGGTGGGTCTGGATGAGAGAGGGGTGCAAGCCTGGACGAGGGTGCCGTGTGCAGAGGAGATGTGGGGAGGGTGCTGCTGACAGCCTGGGGGTGGGGTATCATCCGGCCTGGACTTGGGCCAACGAGACCCTTTCCCCAGGCTGTCTCTGCAGGGCCTGGCTCAAGCAGGCGGGACTATTCTCAGCATGGCGTCACAACTTGTGTTTGTCTCGACACCACATTCGTTTTGCCGCCGTCTCTACGACGGGCTTGGTTCCGTACTGAGTGGTGGAAAACCTCAGCATGTAAACCCCAGTTTGACGTGGTTTTGCATAAATGACCACTGGGCCAGCTGGACAAGAATCTGATGCCTCCCGTCTGGAAACCACCTCAGCACAGACCGAGGTGCAGGGAGGGAAGGGGTGTGCCCGGAGAGGATGAAGGAGTGAGGACTGGAAGGGACGGAACCTGCGCTTCTAGGGAGAGGGCAGCTTGTTCCCGAGAACCAGCCGGCTGAAAAGAAAGGGGATGTTAACTTCCTCAGGGAGGCAAAGAATGATGCTCCCCACATCCTGGCGCCTCCCTGCCCAGCTGAGGACAGCTACTTCCACAGCTTTTTAAAACCTCTGTTGGATGCTTTGCGTATTCCTGCCAGGAGTTTCAGGATGTGAAGAATGGGGAGCTCACCCTGTTATGCACCAGTGAGGCACCTCCAGACCCGGCTGCCTTCAGAGCGTCTCCACGCGCAGGTGAGAGGCTGGGGGCCACCCAGAAAGCACAGGAAAAGGCACTTTTTTTTTTGGCTTTTATTATGAAAACAAAAACAAATGCCCCAGGAGAAGGGTCCATGATTACCAGAGACATCAAAGAGTACTTCCTACCATTTTTATTCTGTTGTGTTGAGGCCAGCGTTGCAATAAACAAGCTAAAACTACTTACATTGGACTCATTTTCAGTAACTGACATTTACAGGAATATACTAGAAACGGCACTAAAAAGTTTAAGAAAAGTTACGGTAAACTTGCATGCACATCATACAGAAAAGTAACATTTTAAATATAAAAAAGAAAACCTTCCTGGAAGTGTTACGCCAGTATTAAGGAACAGCGCTACTCGGGATGGAACAAATCCTTGACCGCGGGTGGTGTTTTCTCCCACGCGAATGTAAAAGACAAGAATGTTGCAAAAGAACAAAAACAAAACAAACAAAAAAACGTATCTTACAGTTTGGAAGCAAGATGACGCTGCCCAGCGTGAGCAAGGGTCTCTGGAATTGAGTCAACACTCGACTCGGCCCCCGGGGTCACGTATGTAGAGTGTGTCAAAGCCACTCCCCACGAGAGGCCAGCCGGCTTCACACATGGCTCCCTGCCCCTCGAGAAAAGCACGCGAAGAGCTGCCCCACAGCTCCTGGCCCTACAACAGCTCTGCTTGTCTTCCTGACACGGAGAAAAGGAAACGGAAACACCCACAGGCTGACCGAGAGGGGCTGAGGAGGTTCCCCCCAAACTTGGAAGAGAAATCGGTTTTGAAGTCTGGACAGAAAGCCTTAAAAACCGCAGCACCAATGGACCACAACTGCTCGTGTGGCCTCCAGCCCTCCGTGAGCCATCAGCGCCGCCGGGTTCTTTCCAGATGAAAGGAGCAGAGGCGGTTCGAGAATCCACATCGCACACAGAACCAGCGGATAACCAAAAGCTCTGCAATGCTCCCGCCGAGCTACACTCTAGGGCCAGATGTCCCCCCGCCTGTCGGCTCACACAGGTACCCCTCGCCATCTCCGCAGCTGGAGGGGAGCTCCCCGGAGCCCTTGCCTCCAGGCACCGTCTGCCTGGGGTCTGCTCGTGACCCAGATGCGCACTTGCTCCGTACTGCCAATGAGATCCTGCTTTAAGACCTGTCGATTTCGTCGTGTATTAATTCCTTAAAGTCATAGTTTAAATACTCCATTAAAGATCTGTTTAGAAAACACCTTTGAAAAACAAGGGTAACTTTAAAAAATGGCAAGTTTAAAATCCATTTATATTTTTATTACAAACAAAACTTAATTAAAAGTTTAACAAACTGGCTCAAAACTCACCAAGTGTCAGAATCACCAGCAGTAAGAAAAATGGTAATCCACCGTCCATTGCCTCGTCCGAGTTCTGTATCTACCAGGGGATCCATAGCCAAAAGGGTTGGTGGAGTCTGAATTGATTTTATGAGTTTTAAAAATTGCCACCTATTAGGATACTGATGACTAGTCCCGCTATCCGTCCAGAAGTGCTGGCAGAAAGAACTCGCCACCAGACGAGAGGCCGGCCCCCCGCGGCTCCACCTCCAGCACCCACCTCAGAGAAGCCCTCCCAGGGACATCTGGGAGAACGCCCTGCTTCAGTCATTTCTGTGCTAACTGGAAAATGCTTGAGCAGGGAGCCCTGTGCAGCTTGCAGAGAGGGAACCCTCCTGGGGCGAGAGGCTCCTCCGGGCCTGGAGAGAGAAGACAGGCCAGGGAGAGCCCCGCCAGGCCACTGCCAGCTGGCTGGAAGACTGCGTTGGGCAGTGGGGGCCGTAGCCTCTCCCCTGGGGCTGGGAGGTGAGGGTGCCCCTTGTGGGGCCTGGAAGGCCGACCCAGGCATTTGCAGCCGAAGCCACCATGCTCAGGGCTTGGGCACGCAGTACGGGGCAGCCCTGTGCCCAAAGGCCACAGGCAGCCTCTGGAAAAACAGAACCAGCACATAACCTTCTGTTAAACTCTGTATATTATTATTATTCTTTACAATAGAAAGTTAAAAATCAAGACTTAGATTTACTATACATTTGTTTCTCTCAGATTACAAAGTTTATATTATATAACTGGGGTTCCCTAAATTGATTTCTGTTAAAACAGTCCTAAAGAGACCAGAAGTGAATACAAAAGAATGAAACCAACAAAATAAAAAAATCAGAATGCACTGCAGCTGGAAGTCGTCTACACCTGTGAGTCTCCGAATTTCATACACACACGAAAAGAACAAAAGCAACCCCCCGACAAACCCCGGAGCAGAGCGAGCGCACGCAGACATGATTGAGCCCCGGCAAGAAGCTAGCACCTGGAGGTCAGAGGTCACCCCACGAGTGGGGTCGGGGGCTCTCCACACCGCTTCAGAGGCCTGCATCTCTGCTATGTTTGTTAATGCATTTCTTTTGCAGTTTTTTTTCTTTTTTTAAAAAAAATGACCAATGATGTTAATAAATAAAGTATTCATATATACATGAAATTGGGAAAATGGTTCCGGAGTGTGCAGCAGCGGCAGCGGTAACAAGTTGGGGACACACGTTGGGCTGGACTTTCATAGAAAATTGCTGAACCTTACAAAAAAGTCTCCTTTTGTTTTTTTTTTTTTATGTTTTCTTTTTCATTTTTTTTTTTTTTTGAAGTTGAGGTAAAAGTTTCAGTGTATGGAAACCTGTGCGCTGCACATGCAGCCACTGTGTCCCCTCCCAGGAGCTCGTGGCATCACCAAGATCAGAGAAACCCAACGTCCTCTCTTCCACGCCCCACCCTCGCCCGCCCCCACCGGCATGAGCTCTGATGGGAGCCACGAGGACCCCTCGCCTGGCCAAGCCCTGGTCCTCGCCACAGGCACGTCTGTCCTCAGCCCCTGCAGAAAGAGGTGACCCCTCGGACACGAGAGTCAGAGCTCAGGGCCCAAATGACAAAGACAACAGCTGTCTGCAAAGCTGACAGCTTTCAAATACAGTACCATTTTAGAGAAGTTTCCTTTGAAACAATTCTTCCTGGAGCTACAGACCAGGTTGGGCATAAGAAAAGGGATTCTGCAAGAACCTTCAGATCACATCTCACACGTGTTTCTACGGTTTCCAGGTTAGCATCTGAAGTTGCCATCTCCAAGCCACTGAACTCAGTTAACAAGAAAAGACTTTATGCAGACTCACACCTCCTCATAAAGTCTCATGTGCACACAAAAAAAGATCTTTGACCTATTAAAGCAAAAACTGGAAGATACCATAACACTGAATTAAAAAGAAAACCTGCACACCAGGGGACAGAAGTAGTATATTAACCATTGAGGGAACACTGCAGAGTCTCAGCGTGTGCGACACCCACTGGCTTTGTTCTGTTCTGCGTTAAGTCCGGAGTTCATTCTGAGTCGCTGCTGTCGGAGCTGGATCCGCTGGAACTGCTGCTCCCGGACTCGGAGGAGCTGCTGCTGCTGAGCCGGGACGGCCCTCCCGAGGGCGCAGAGCCCGATTTCTCTGGGGGAGACACAGCAGGTGAGCGGCGCCCACCCCACTCACCCACCCTCGCCTGGCAACGCCTTCATCAGCACAAGTTTTTCCAGAACATCCAGTGGCTTCACACCAACACAGCACGTGCCACAACTCACCCATTTCTTGGCCCAGTTGTTTAAAAAATATTAACAAATATTTGTTGAAATGAATTACTGCATTAATGAGATTGGGGGATTTGCCCCGTTCCTGGCACAGGGCTCCTAAATCCCTTGGACTCTCCTGAGTGATAAGAATGTCTTCTGTTATTTATAAGGAGCCCCTTTAGATCACACCTGAGTTTATGCAATGAGCGACTTAGGGTGGCAGCCCCAGAGAGCCACAGGATGGGGCTGGTCACCAGCAAGACCAGGAGATTGGAGGGGCAATTTCAGCCCCTCCACTCCCAACTCCAAGGAGGGGAGGGCACTGGAGATGGGCACTATAAAAACTCGTGATTCGGAGAGCTTCCGGGTTGGTGAACATACGTAGGTCTGGGAAGGTGGTGCCCAGAGAGGGCATGGATGCTCTGCACCCCCCACACCTGGCCCTGTGTGTCTCTTCCATTTGGCAGTTCCTGATTTGTATCCTTTATAATAAGCCATAATAGTAAGTAAAGTGCTTTCCTGAGTTCTGTGAGCCATTCTAGCAAATTCTCGAACTTGAGGAGGGGGTCGTGGGCACCCCTGATTTATAGCCCGTCAGCCAGAGGTGCAGGAGGCTGGGGACCTGCACCTGGCGTCTGAGATGGGGGTGGTCTTGTGGGGCTGAGCCCTTAACCTGCGGGGTCTGCGCTAACTCTGAATAGACAGCGTCAGAACTGAACTGAACTGCTGGACGCCCAGCTGGAGCCGGAGATCGAAGAGCCAGTGTGAGAAAAACCCCACACGTTTGGTGTCAGAAGTATAAGAACAGCTCAGAGATCAACAACACTACGTGAGCCTGCCCGAGACTGGAAGACATGAGTGCCGTCTACTCAGAGGGGCTGATGGGCTGTGGAGGGAAGCTGACCACAGAAGGACATCCTTCAGTCACATGGCCTCGAGGAGTGACAACACAGCCACCTGCTCTGGCCCCCCCAGGGGCCATGTCTGGGGACCCTCCCAGCCTTTGGTGGGAGTGGCAGGGTTACGAGCACCGTCTCGGCACTGGGCAAGCAGGACCTGGCAAGGCTGCGGCACCTGGCTGCTACATGATCGTCGAGATGGGACCCCACTCTGACCACCACCTGTGCCGCGCCATCCCTGGGGCCAGGAAAAAGCTATTTGCCCTTTCTTACAAGGATCCAGAGACGGGAGGCAAGGAACCAAATCACCTGTCACCTAAAATAAGACCCCACAGTCCACAAAGCACAGGCCCTGGGGGCTGGGAGTCGGAGCCTCCCTCTACCTGGTATGGGTTAACACGCGGGGAACTAGTGTTACAGCCTGGGGGCAGCCAGAAAGCTCGCTGCCATGGGGTCCAGCCCCCACAGACCACAGCTGGCCCCTTCCGAAGAGCCCTCTCCAGGGGGTGCTGGCACATGGTGCTTTCAGGCATGCCTGCCATCTGCTCGGCCCCTGCAGGGCTGGGTTCTGGTCCCCCGTTCGCAGATAATGAAACCGGGGTTTCAGGAGGTCAGGAGCCTCACAGAAGGAGACACGCACGTTAAGCGGTGGAGCCACAGACCCCAACATGGTCCTGCCGCCCACCACCCTCCCGCTGCCCCTCCCCGGGACAGAGCGCCGCAGCGGGGCCGCGGGGTGGCGGCCGGGAGCAGCTACCTTTCTTGGCGGGCTTCTTGTTGTTGCTGAGCTGCCCGCTGACGTCCTGCAGCCGCTTCTCCAACTCCTTCTTCTTTTCCTGAGCTAACTCCTCCTTCGACTTGGCCGCCTGCTTCCTCCCGCTTGTCGCTGTGGGAGAAGGCGGAGCTGAGATGGCAGGGTGGGGCGGAGGAAGGACGGCGGCCACCCGGGAGCCGAGTCGCACGGCCCTCAGAGGGGCAGCCTCCCGGTGGCATGGCCCTGGCTCTTCTGGTGGTTCAGCCCTTGCCTGGCGCCGCAGGGCTGACGCCCCAGCTCCCTGAGGGGTCACAGTGACCAGGACGATGCAGAACCCTGCCTGCATGTACTGAGCCTTTGCCACAAGCGGACCTTTCTCTTCAACTCTCATAGAACTCCTGAGGTGACACAGATCATTCCCACCCCAGACAGGTGCACGACGGACATGTATGGCTTGGTGACACCGCCACCCCGGGTGAAGGGCAGAGCCATGACCTGAAGCCTTGACCCTCTGACTCCTGGTTCTGCTTCGCCACGGCTGAGGCGCTCTTGGCCTCAGCAGTGAGGCCCAGACTCGGCCCTGGAGCATGGCCTCCACTGCCCGGCACATCAGTGCCACCACCTCTGAGTCCACGGGTGACTTACCGAGAGTCACACGTGCCGTGACTGCAGGGGGTCACGCAACACTCCATCCAGGAGAAGGCGGCTGCTCCCTCAGAGCGAGGACCACCAAGCACCCAGGAGGGCCACACGCAGGCTCATGCGCACCCTGGGTGGTCCTGGCGGCCGGGGCTGCTGCCCTGTTCTCCTGCCACCAGGGGGCCACCTCGGGCCTGCCCTCCCTCTCACTCCCCAGGACTCGCTGACCCAGGCAGTGCCACGTTCCCATCCAGAGAAGTCACTGACTTCCAGGGAGAGCCTGGTCCAAGGCCGGTGTCTGTGCTGGAGGCCTCTGGACCCTCTATCCCAGGCAAAACGGAACTGGTCTGCCCTGGCAGGGGTCCATCAGAGGTCACCTGCAGCCCAGGCCCCTAATGGAGCTTCAGGAAGGGTGTGGCAAGGACCTTAACTGGCCCTTGAATGGCTGAGGCTGCGGCCGGCCCAGGGGGCCTGCCCGCCCTAGTGAAGGCCGAGGCACATATGTGCTGCCCCCCTGCCCAAGAGCAGGGGAAGGAGGGCTCTGGCTGGAGAGGGGCTGCAGCCGGGTCTCAGCCAAGCCCACGGCCCCTGCTGAGCACAGACAGCTGTCCTCAGGGCACAAGGCAGGAAGAGGGGCGAGGAGCACGCATCGGTGACCCACTCCCACTCCCGGGGCCACCTGGCTTTCCACCTGGGACTGAAGGAGTGACGAGGGGGCACGGGGTCGGGGTGGGGGGACGTGAGCACCACGCTCTGCCCCGACAACTTACAGAACGGCTTCCTTTGCTTTTTCTGTAAACAAGACTTGACGTATCTCTCTAGTTCCCGCAAAGTGGTGGGTTTCAGAGTCTCAAAGTCAATCTCTATCTCGTCGGGGTTGGAGTCCCTGAGCGAGGGCTCCCGGGACTGGATGATGTGCACCACCCGGCCCAGCTTCTCCCCAGGCAGCCGGTTGATGTCCAGGCTGAGCTGGCGCTTCTCGTCGTAGCTCATGGGCAGGCCCTCCTCCTCCTCCTCCGAGTCATAGGAGGCTGACGCCTGCTTGCCGCCCTTCTTCGGCTGTCTGAGGCAGCAGGGAAAGAGCATTGTGGCATGGAGCCCTTGCCCCCCGACCCCGTGGAGCCTGAGCCCCTGCCCCCCACCCTCATGGAGCCCTTGCCCCCTGACCCTGTGAAGTCTGAGCCCCTGCCCACCCCCATGGAGCCTGAGCCTCTGCCACCCAACCCCATGGAGCCCTTGCCCCCCGATCCCGTGGAGCCTAAGCCCCTGCCCCCCGACCCCGTGGAGCCTGAGCCCCTGCCCCCCAACCCTGTGGAGCCTGAGCCCCTGCCCCTCCACCCCCATGGAGCCCTTGCCTCCCTGACCCTGTGGAGCCTGAGCCCCTGCCCCCTTGTTCTGTCTGGCCTTCTTCCTCTCCAGGACCACCAGGCTCTCTTACCAAGGGGCACACCCAAAGTGGTCCTGAGGCAGAGAAGCCAGGCTGACTGCCTGAGGACTGCATATATATCACCAGAGACACGGGAGACCCTGCTCCAGAGGCCAGAGCAGAGGCTGCTCCCAGCTGGGGGGTTTCTAGGCCTCGGCCAGGAAACAACCTTCATGGCCAGCCAACTCCCCTCAATGCCCCACAGGCACCTCAAACTCAACAGGTCAAAAACTGATCTCAGTATTCAAATAATCCAAAAGAAGGCAGGAAAGGGGACAGAGGAATAAAAAACAGACAGAAAACGAGGGGACGGTAGCCCGAAGTCTAACTGTATCATAATCACATTAAATATAAATGGTCTAAGCACACAAGTTAAAAGAAAGAGATGGTCATTGGGATAAGAAACAAGACCCAACTCAGACGCTGTCCACACAAACCCTACTTTAAATATAATGACAGAGGAAGGTTAAGAGTTAAAAGATGGGGGAAATACACCACGCAAACACCAATTAAAGAAAGCTGCAGTAGCTATATCAATATCAGACAAAGTAGACTTCAAGAAAAGGAACACTATCAGGAAAAAGAGGGACACTGGAAACGATCAAAGGGTCAACTGACCAAGAAGACAGCACAATCCCAAATGTGTGCGCATCTAAAAACCAAGCTCCAAAAGATATGCAGCAACATCTGATAGAACTAAACGGAAATGGAATAATCCACAGTTCTAGTGGGAGAATTTAAAGATTCTTTCTCAGTAATCAACAAAACAAATCAGCAAGAATAGAGAAGACCCCAACACCATCAACCAAATTAACACAACTGACACGTCTTTGTCTGTCTGAGGTTTTTAAGATTTTTTTTTTCCTGACATTTATACAACACTCCACCCAGCTGCAGAACACACATTCTTTTCAAGCACACATGGACTACTCACCACGACAGACCATATTTTGGGCCATAAAATAAATCTTAACAAATTTACAAGTATTGAAATCACACAAAGTATGTTCTCTGACCTGACTGAGATTAAACTAGAACTCAATAACTGAAAAATATCTGAAAAAAATCCCCAAATATTTAGACATTAAACAACACACTTCTAAACAACCCACGGTCAGAGAGGAAGTCTGAAGGGGAATTAGAAAATATTTTAAAATCAAGGAACCACCACATATCAGATTTGTGGGGTGCAGCTAAAGCAGTGCTCAGATGGACATTCATAGCATTGGAGGCTTATATTAGAAAAGGTCTCAAATCAATAATCTGAGCTTCTACTTTAAGAAGGTAGAAAAAAGGACAGCAAGTTAAGTCCAAGGCAAGCAAAAGGAAATCATAAAAACAAGATCAGAAATGAAAGAAAGTGAAAACAGAGGAAAATCAGTGAAATCAAATACTGGTTTGTTGAACGACCAATAAAACTGATCAACCTCTCTCTAGATTCACCAAGAAACAGACACAAATTACCAAGATCAGGAAGGAAAGAAAGGACACATCACTGCAGGCCCTACAGATGTTTAAAGGATAAGGGAACACCACCGACAACCCGTGCCTGCCAACCCCGCGATTTAGGTGACATCGAGGAACAATCTGAAAGGCACAAACCACCAAAACTCAAGAAGAAACTGATAACCTGACTAATCCTATATCTACTCAAAGACTTGAATTTATGGTTAAAAACCTCCCAACAATGAAAACTCCAGGCCCAGATGATTTCACTGGTGAATTCTATCGAACATTTAAGAATTAATACCAATTCTATAAATCTACTCCAGAAAACAGAAGAGAAGGGAACACTTCCCAACTCATTTTTGAGGCCAGTATTATACGGACACCAAAACCAGAGACAGTGCAAGAAAAACTGACTTCTGTCTCCTCCTCCAAAAAGAAGAAGAAAGTGGGGGATGCCCTGACCATTCCCACTGCCCAGTCTCGATAGCACCACTGCCTATCCAGCTGCCAAAGCCCAGCCCCTAGCTCCGCATTTCCTTCTCCTCCTACTTTCAGGCACCAGGCTGGTCCCTTCTGCCTCTGAAACGGTTCTCAAAGCAACCTGCTGCTGCCTCCAAGGCCACACCGACCTCCTCTGCCTGCATAACCACAACAACCTCCAAAGGGGCTTCCTCTCTCCCACGCTGGCCTCCCACTAATCCCCTCTCCTCACTTACACGCTTCCTGATGCCCCTTCATTTGCTCAGAGAATAAAACACAAACACCTCCGTGAAGGTGGCCAACCCCGGCAGCCTCAACTCTCCCTGCTCTTCCCAACCCAGTCTCTGCTCTTCAGAGGTGCCAGCCTTGTCCTAATTCCCACGAGGAACATGTGCACTGGCCTCCAGGGCTTTGTACCCACTGTTCCTGATTCTTGGAACCCTGTGCCGACCCTCTGCTGCCAAGCTTCCTGCTGTGCAGCTGTCACCCCCTCCTCGGGGAAGCCTTTCTTCTTCCTTGCTGGGAGAGGCACCCCGGCCCTGAGCGCCTTCCCCACCGTCCTCATCTCCCCCGTCGTCCCTGCCTGTCTGTGGCAGGCGTTCCCGAGGGCAGTGCCTGAGCACAGCAGGAGCTAAGTCAGAAGGTGGAAGGGCCAGGGAGCTGAAATTGCGCCGAGTCATGAGTCCACCACCCGACCCTGTGCCTACCAGGCGAGCCAGCAACACGGTGCCAAGAGCCCAGATCACCAAGGCCCAATGACCCCCAAATACAACCCCTGGGACCAGACCAGGAAAATGTCCCCAAAGCCTTGAAATGCTGAGGTCTCTGCCAGGTGGTGTGACCACTCCAATGGCCAGCCCCAAGGACAGCTGAGTGGTACCCCCTGGAGCCCGTAATCCTCCCGCAGACACCTCGCTTGGTCCCCACAGTCTCCCCACGAGGCAGACGAGAGAAGGACCCCCACCCTGTTTCCCACGTGACAGCCCACTCTCCGAGTCACCAGGACGTGGCCACACGAGCACCCACGACGTGCGGCACTGGGCTCGCGGAGGGCTGGACCGGGCGCTGGGGCCCACCTGCTGGCTGTGGTCGTGCTGTTGGCCTTCTTGGCGGGAGCCTTCTTCGGCGCGGCCTGCTTGGTGGGCGGGGCCGCCTTGGCCTTCTTCTCGTCCTCGGACTTGGCCCTGTGTCTCTCCTTGTCCTTCTCCTTGTCCTTCTTCTTCTTCTCCTTCTCCTTCTTCTCCTTCTTCCTCTTTGGCTTGTTCACTGGGGCCTGAGACAGGGCGGCCAGCTGCTCGTGCACGGCCTTCAGCTGGAAAAGAGCAGGCGGCTCAGCGGCCTCCCCTGGGGCTGGCCCAGGGGGGACATGGGGACACCGTGCGGGAGGTGACCCAGGAGCACCTGGGCCTCGCCCCTCAGGGAGCCGGACAGCAGCCAAGCCCCGCCCCGCCCCCCAAGACCCCCGTGCCGCAGGAGGGTCGCGGGGCCTGCTGGGCCTCGGTTTCCCCAGGTAGAGTGAGGGGGAAGTGCCCGGCTCACAGGTGGCGGACACGGTGACAAGATGGGCCTGGTGAGATGCTCAGCCCGGGCGGGTAGCACAGGAAGGACTCGATAAATAGGAGCTACTGTTTTTCTTATTAGTTTTTACTTTTCAGATGAAAGGAGACTTTCGACAGCTACTCTGGGGATGCTGTGGGGAGCTGACTCGGCAGGTCTACAGGATTAAAAGGACCCAGCGCCAAAACGTACCCGACGGCGTGCTAAGTGCTCACGCACCTCTCATTTCTGCAACCCCCGAGGTGAGGGGGGCCGCCACAAGCCGCACCCGTCCAGTGAGGAACCGCATCTCCAGCCTCCCGTGGGCGGAGGGGCCGAGGGGGCACCACGTGCGCACCCCGGCCATGGTTCTGCAGCAGCCTGGGGGCCACACCACAGGGCCACCTTCCCTGCAGCGTCACCTCTAACAAGGCTGAGCTCAAGGTCAAACGCCCAGCCCCACTCTGGACTGCGGGGCCCTCTACTCTGCTCTTTCCTCTCCCTGCCCGGAGGCCCCAGACACTGAGCACCTGTTGGCTGCCAGACGCTAGGGGAAAACAATTTACCTTTTTCTTAATCCATCATCAAAACTCCAAGTGGAGGGAGCATTAGTCCCATTTTGTAAATGAGGAGAGAGAAGCAAAAAAGTGGGCACACCAGGTTTACAGGTGGTCAGGGGCTGAGGTGGGAGCCATGGAGCCTGCACCCGCCCCACTGCAACAGACTGCTGGGGCCACACTGCTGGGGCTTCTGCGCATGCCTGCCAGACTTTTCTAGACCAGGGTGAGGCACCCAGGGCCCACCAGGGCTCCAGGAATATCCCGGCACAAGTCAGGCTCGTGTGGCCCCAGGCCTGCAGGACCCCCGAGGGGGCCCTCGGAGCTGACACCTGCCCTGGGTCCCCTCCCCGCCCAGCGACACTGCAGGGAAGGATCGCTGCGGTGTGAGTGAACAGGGCAAACCTCGGGTCAACGGGCTGGCCCAGCGCCGGGCCGGGACCGGGCCGTGGTCCTGCCTCTGCCCCCTGCTCAGGCCCCGTGGTCCCCGGGCCCCACTGCAGGCGCTCACCTGCTCCTGTAGCTCTGCCAGCCTCGTGGCCCGCTCCTCCTCCGAGTCTGAGCTGCCCGAGTCCGAGGAGCTCTCCTCGCTGCTGCGGCTGCTCTCGGTGCCCTTGCTCACTGCGGGGGCCGTGGGGGCCGGCAGCGCGGGCGCCTCCACGGGCTCATCTGGCATCTTGGCAAACCGCATTTCAAACACGTCCTGTGGGAGAGCAGGGGCTGCCTGAGGTCCTGGATGCCCACAGGTCAGTTCTCTCAGGGTGGCCCCCCGCATCCCTGGGATGTCCAGCTGCTCGGAAGGTCAGGCCCTACAAGGAGACTGGGCCCAGCCTGCTCTCAGTCCCTCCCTCTCCAGGCATTGAGTGTGGGTCCAGTGGCAGGGGACACGGGGCCAAGAGCCACTGACGCAGCCTCCTAGGAACTGGCATGCAAGCTCCCTTTATTAAACAGGTAAGCATCCTGTAACAAATCTGTGCATCCTCTCAGCCTCCAGGTCTGAGGCTCTGCGAGGCTGCCTTCTACCACAACATAGCTGAAGTGTCTTCCTTTGAGCTCCGGCCTTTCACAGGGGCCCCCAGACACCGAGTTGGGAGTCAGTTCACATTTTCCCATCTCTGCTCTACGATTTTACTGCAGCATCACATCTCATTCTGAGTTAAGTCCAAAAGTTGGCTCAAAAGGCAAAAGTCTTGTCCTGTCAAAACTGGCTTTGGAAAGCCCTTGCCAGCTCCTACCCAGCAGGACCCGGGCCCTCGCAGCCAACGTCCCCTCTCCCTGGCGGCCCAGATTCATTTCTGATGGGGATGAGTGGCTACGAGGCCAGGCGGGGAGACTTCTCTTTGCCAAGCCCATACACCGGAATCCACATCGGCTCACACCCATGAGACGCGACCCCACTGATCAGGGGCCAGCTCCCGGGAGAGCCCACTCTGGGTTCTGGTCCCCCAGAACCCCTCCTGGGGTGAAGACATCCTCAGAGGGACACTCAGGCGCAGAGCCACCGTTCGGCCTGCTCTCGGCAAACGGCCTCGAAGGCCACTGACATCAGGAGCTTCAGTGCTAGGCTCTAACCCAGAGCTCGATGTATACAACGTACAGTGCAATTACTAAACGGTCGTCGGTAATTAAGGTTCTCAGCCTCTGTGGCCACACTGCTGAGAAACATCTCCTGCAGGAACAGAATGAGCCACTGGCCTCGGCACTCTGCTCGCATGCCCGGTTTGCTGCTGGTGCTGCCTGGCTTCCTTATTAAGGAATTTACCAGGTCCAGGAACGTCACAGAGCGACGACAGCACAGCCTTTTACGAAGCCTTCTGGCTTCAAGACACAGCGGGCACAGTCTCGCAGTCTCAGTATAAAACTGCGGGTCCTGGTGGCTTCCTCTGGGTGTGCTGGGACCCCCAGGACTGCTCTGCCATGTCCCCCTGTGGGAGCCAGTACACAGAGCGGGCAGCAGGCAGCAGGCAGAGCCTGGGAAAGGCCTCAGGAGGGCCCATGCAGGAGGACGGCAAGAACATCAGCAGGACCCAGCAGCAGGCAAGGCCTCCCCCTCCTTCCTCGTCTGGGTCCTGCGTGATCACCGACGAGACCACAAGCTGCTTCCCAGGGTTTTCAAAAGGGTTCTGAGCAAGGGACTAGGAACGCCTTATAGAACAAACATTCTGGGTCCGGTAAAAAGAAAAACTACTGGCAGCAGGTATAACTCAACAATTTTTACTTTTCCTTCCAAAAAGAAAATCCTCTGATTACGTTACGTTGAAAATATTGGAGCTGTTATTTATACAAGTGACAGCCCACACAGGCGAGCATGAAGGGAAATAAGAATAGATTCTGCGTGCTGACCCGCACAGGAACACGTGGGCAGCACCCAGAAAATCACGCACACAGGCGCACACGCTCGCATGTCCCTGTGCTGGAGGCTAGCCTGAGCTTCCCTTCCTTCTCTTCTCTCCCAATCTCTCCCACGTACCATCCGCTTCTGTTGTCAGGAAAGCACAAGGCTGCACAACCAACCATCCTCTGACACAACATCCACAGGCCTCACTCACACGTTCCTGACGAAGCCCCCCCTTGGCACAGAGACATGCTGGAACCTTCCGTCAGGAAGGCAGGAGGATGGACACCTGCCTTCTCTTCCTCTCCGTCCGTCTGGGCTAGAACATGCGCCAGCCCCTGGAGGGTGTGTTCCCTGCCGCTCCCGCCTGGGCCCCACCTTAGACGCCGATGAGCAGAAACGTGCTGCGTGGACGAGGCTCCCCCGTGGCCTTCCCTGACTGGGTGTTCTCTGGGAGGACTGTGTCTTCCCTGGGTGCCTGCCCTGAGCTGTGATCCCCCCGGGCCCAGAAGGCCCCGCCCCCTGAGAGCACCTCGGGTTACCTGGAGCTTCCTGGCCATGGCCACCACCTCGTGGTCCGGGGGGTTGTACTTGTAACAATTGGAGAACATTAACCGGATGTCGGCTGCAAAGCCCTGTGCGTCCGGGTACTCTCGGCTGTCCATCTTCTTCTGTAACACACAAGGGACAGGGCGTCAGGAGCCCCGCCCGGTGCCCCAGACCTCAGCCAAACAGACGCCAGACCCTCAGCATGCCCACTGTCAGCCAAGACGTCGTGTGCAGGAGCCCAGAGAGAAAGGGTGGAAGGGGGGCTCGAGGGCTTGGAGGGAGGATCTGGGACCCCGCCGACAGGCAGATGCCCTGGTTGGAAGGAATAGATGCTCGAAAAGAAATCCCTCCCGCAGCCACCACCTAACCCCTTCCTCACCCAAAGCTTCCGACCCTACATGCTGGGTAATTTTTCACACACTGAAGTTCCTGACGGTAGGGGCACCAGGGGGAACGAGAAACTTCTGGGGAAAAGTCGCTCTCTACCAACTCTGGGGGCCTACTCGGGTCACGGAACGAGACATCGAATTTTTTCTCCATGAGAATCTGGGCGCTGTTAGCCAGTGAGCCCCTCAGAGAAGCCCCAGATCGTCCCGGCCATCCCAATAGGACAGGGTGGGGTTGGTGGGGGCAAGACGACAGGCACACTGCACATGGAGGACAGAGGTGTGACCAGCAAGGGATGCCACCAGGTGGCAGCTAAGAATAAGGTGACAATCGGGGCAGATGGAGGGGAAACTGCTTAGTGAGGGAACGAGCTCCTCGTGCCTGGACGGGATCGAGGAGAGCTCATCAGTCAGGGGCCTCTTGTTGGGGGAGGGGTGCCCGTTTTTCCTGAGGGCCGTGCTCTGCTACAGCAGGACATGGAGGGTTCGAGTTCAACCCCCTGCCCCATTTGCTCCTAGAATAAGGAGCAAATTTGAGGAGCAAAATTTTGGACTCTATGAAGGGACTGATTGTGGTCAGACTCCAAGACCTGCAGCGTCTCCAGCCTCAGATACGGCCCCCTTCCCCTGTCCCCTAGAGAGCTTCCGACAGCTCCGGAGCTACGTGGCTCCAGCCCTCAGCACAGCCTCCCCACTCCAGGGTGGCCCAGCCAGGGAGGACAAATGGGCACCCAAGACCCTTTCGACTTTGGAGAGATTTTCAGGCTCTGGTCCTAATCTGACCACTGGTCACTTTCCTGGGGCTTGGGAACAAACAGGCCAAAGGTAAGCACACACAGGGTGACCAGGGACAGTTGCACGGTTCTGTCGGTCGGTCTTCAGTGTTTCCCGGATGACGAGGCATTTCTGAAATGGAGCGCCGAGCAGCCCACGTGCATGCAGTGTCCCTTCGGGGTCCCCAATACTAGAGTGGGTCGCCATAGTGCCAGTGGGACACACCTCCCTCAACCGTCCCCTGGGCCACCACAGGCATCACAGAGAACGCCTGGGGGGAGCCCCGGCACCCCTGCCATGGCCTCGGCCCCGCTGCAGGCCTGGGCGCACTTCCCGCTCTGCCCCTCGCTGGCTGTGTGGCCTTGGGCGAGTCACTTTCTCTTCGAGCCTCATTTTCCTCCACCGTGAATGGGGCAGGGACATACACCTCCTGAGAGTGCTGGGGGGTTAAGAAGGGTGTGACGAGCCTCACTACAGTCAGCAACACCTCTCTCCTCGGCATCATGAGCTCTGCCAGCCCAGCTCGGGGCCTAAAGAGCCAAAGGCCTGGATTTCAGGACCAGCTGTGGGCGGGGCCGCCACCTGCCCCAGCCACGGGTTCCCTGGCTGCAAACAGCAGAGTGTGAGCAGACCTAGGAGACCCTCTCCACCCTGAAAAGCCCAGTGCCTGCACCCCCAACTCCCCAAGTCCCAACCAGGTCTTCTCGCAGAGGGCGGCACAGCCGGAGTGTGGACACGAGGAGATGGGAGCACAGCCCTGGCTGGGGCTGAGGAGGGCCAGCTGGCAGCCGGCAGCCCAGAGCTGGGCCCCCACACCCCCAAACAGGAAGAAAGAGCCCCCAGGATGCAGATGCTCAGCTCAGAGACCGTGCATCTGGGAGCGTGTTTCTGCCGCCCCACAGTCAAAACCCGCTGCGAGGGCGCCAGTCTGAGCTGGGCGCTGATCCAGAAAGACATAACCAAACTGTTATCAGGAACATTCACTGGGACGAGGGGCAACGCCAGAAGAGATGAGCGCTACTCTCCACTTGCCTCTCCTTTGCTTGAGTTTTCACAATGACTCTCTATTTGTGTTTTACTCACACACGTAAAAAATCCTCCAAAGAAAAGCAAACACTACTGGGCTCGGCGCTGCCCGTGGGGGTAGGACCGCAGCAGCACAGGATGCGTCTGAGGAAGCCAGCACCCTGCCCCACAGGTTAGCGAGAGGCTCAAAAACGGTGAGGAAGCTGCTTGGTCACCCAGCCGGGCTGTGGCAGAGCGGAGCCCCACCCAGGCCAGCCTGACTCGAGCCGGTTCAACGAGCACCACTGCCTGGACAGCCTGGTCTGTCCTGCCCCTGAAATCCACGACCGCCCGGGAAGGCCTCCACAAGGAGATTCTGCCCCAGGCTGGCGTTCCTGGGAAACGAGGCAGAATGACTGAGACCAGCAGCTCAAGGCCCAGGCCCCATCGATGGAAGGAAACAACCGCTCCCCTTTGTGGGGGCACTTTTCCAGGGCCCCGAGGGTGGCTCATGGAGGGGGTGGGCTTCACGTGCCCAACGGCCAGGGGTACTCCTCAGGACGTCAGAGACCAAAGCCAGGCTGGCTCACAGCTCTCCGGAGGGCAGGTGTGCAGGGCCCAAGCTGGACAGGGGGCTCAGGGACCCCTCCTGCACGTGCTCAGAGAAGACCCCGCGGGAGCTAATCCCAGCCCCAGTCTGCTGCCCTCGGGGCTACGGCTGTCACCTGGGTAGTTCTCCGTCGCAGCCCAGCACAGCCTGCTCTCTGTTCATTCTCAACTGGCCTGACCTGGAACAAAACCCACAAGAGCCCAGGGGAGCCTCTGGCGCAGGAAGACCCTGGCACGGGAACAGGGAGGCCAGGCTCTCGCTCTCAGCTCTGCCACCTCCCCCTCCAGGACCCACTCCTGTCCGGTGAGCGGGGGGTCACCTGAGAGGGCCTCCTCGCCTGACGTTACAGAAACCCGCAAACGCACCGGGATGGGAGACGGGAAGGAAATAAATGAAATAATGAAACTGGGTTCAAGCGGAAGAGACGACAAGAAGCTGCAAATTCAGTGACCAACAGGCAAAACACACCTTCCTCCCTGAGCCGGCCAGACCCAAGCCGGGGCCTCGGGGCCAGCCCTGAGGCCGTATTTGCCGCTGGGGGGCAGGCCAGGGTGCCGAGCAATGCCCCAGCGCCCGGGGTGCCCCTGAGCCGGCAGACAACATGAGCACCTTGACAGGCCCTCAGCACGTCAGCAGAGCAGGCAGCCTGGCCAGGGGCCACCAGGTAGGGACAGGGGCCCCGGCCGCCCGCCGCCCAGTACCTTGACGGTGCTGAGGTCCATGGGGTGCTTGATGATGTCATGGTAGTCGTGCAGCTCCAGGGCCTCGGCGTCCACCGGCTTGTAGAAGGGCCAGGCGTAGGCCGCGTGCTTCTTGGACAGCATCTCCTTGAGGATGCTGTCACAGTGCCGCAGGTGCTCCGACAGCTTGCCCTTCTTGCCGGCGTGCTGGGGCACCTCGCCGTCCTCCAGGTCCTTCTTGGGCGGCTTGATGGGGCGGCCCCCGCTCTCCCGCCGCGCCACCACCTTGGCCTGCTTGGGGTCCGACAGCGGCGGGGGCGACTCGCTCCGGCTGGCGGTGATGGCTGATGTCGTGGGCGTGGTCGTGTCTGCTTTCCGCTTCACGCCCTTCTTCTGCGACAGCAAAACAATCAGTGAGCACCAGGGACGCACGCCGGCCGTGAGGACACCAATCGCCGCAGCTGCGCTTCTGGAGCGCTGACTACCCGCCAGACACCGAGCGAAGCGATGACATGCACGGCCGCATCCATCCTCCCAGCTGCCCTCGCGGAACGGCGGATGCCGAGGCTCAGAGGGGCCAGGTCGCCGGCCCGAGGTCACACAGCTGGTAGTGGTGAGGCTGAACTCCGAACCTACCCGGAGCCACCGGGGGGCCCTCTCCCTTTGCCCCCAGGGCTCCGCGGTCACGGGGGGCTCACTCGGCACCCGAGCAGCGTGAGGTGCAGCATGCAATTCACCTGCACCTAACCAGCACCCCAGACCACGCCACGCCAGGGGGTCCAGAGACAAGCATGACCCAGATAGCACCGTGACTGGGATCATCACCAAGCTCGGGGACAGCAGAAACGAGGAATTCCTGCTCATCGCTGCCAGCGGGAAAGTCCCAGATGAGGGCCTCCAAGCCTGCGCTCCAAGGACAATCGCAGGGAGAGCATGCCGGGCGGGGGCGGGGGCCCGACTACGAGACACAAGCAGCAGCAGCAGCAGCAGGTTTGGGACAAGGACTCCAGGGGGCTGAGTGAGTGGGCGGGTCTGGACGGGACCCTGAAGGCAGTGGGAGCCACAGAGACCTATTTTCCGCAAGGACAGGAAATGCTGAAATGATCCACGGAGCCTCTTAGGGCCGTGTCGAGAGCAGGCAGTCACACGGGACGGTGAGAGCACGTTTAACACCCGGTGTCCTGGGCCGCGCGGATCTCCCCAGGCACAACGACCAGCCCCAGGGCCCACGGGCATCCAGGCCATGACCCCGAGACCAGCTCAGCAGGTGCCCCTCACGTCAGCTCAGGCAGAGAAGCCCCTGGGGGCCACAAGTGCCAGGGCTGACCATCTCACCGCGTTCTGCTGTCGAGAGCGCCACAATGGTCACTAGTCACTGCCCCAGCCAAGCCGCCGCACCCACGCCGGCAGGGGCACGAGCTGGCTATCCACAAAACACTTAACGGGCACCCACGGGATGCAAGCGCGTGCCACAGAGGACCTGGGGGGCTCATCTGGCCATGGCAAACGGGACATGCTCCAAAAACAGCCGGGCGCTGTGTGAGGCAGCCTGGCCAGGCGCCGCCCGAAGTGCAGGCAGTGAAGGCCACGGGGGAGGGAAAGCAACGGAGGCGGCATTTTACCTTGGGGGAGCCATTTAACCCCTCTGAGCGCCTGCTTCCTCATCTGTAAGATGGGGGAAATACTGTCTGCCCCAGAGGGTCGCTGTGAGGGTCAAATCGGAGAAGACGACACACGTCAGTGCCCAGCACAGGGCCGGCTCAGGGTGGGAGACTCAGCCGTCCTCGCAGGGAGCACCCACTTGGAGCCCAGACCCGGCCAGGACAGTCCCTGCCACGAGAAGCTCCCAGCCAAGCGGGGGAGACACACGTGCTAGCACTCACGTTAATAGGGGCACGAGGTGGAGGCCGCTGTGTCTAGGGGCCAGCTCCTCAGCTGCACCCACCACCACCCTCCCCGTGCCAAGCGTAAATCCGAGTGTGAGCGGGGGCCAGCCGGGGCCCCTCCCACCCCTGTCATCTCCCACGCCTTCCCCACCCTGACCATGGACTGCAAAGGCCAGGGCTCAGGCCAGAGACACTGGGGTTCAAGCGCAGCCCACCCTCACCAGCTGTGTGACCTGTAGCCCCCTGAGCCTCGGTCTCCTCGTCTGCGTCAGGAACAACGGCCCGACCTCACGGGCACAGAGAGAACCCCTCTGGGGACATGTGGACCAAAGGCCCGACAAGTGGCTGGTGCCCAGGGAAAGGCAGCAGAGCTCCCCTCCTGCCCAGCCCCACACTGCCAGAACCCAGGACCCCGGGCCGGTGCTCAGACCCCGGCCGACCTCAAGCCCCAGGGACGCTCACCTTGATGACGGGCGGCGTGGGAGGGACTACAGGGATGATGGGCGTTGCGGGAGGAGGTGGGGCGGCAGCCGGGGTGACGGGGACTGACGTGATGTTTGCAGTGATGGTTGGCACAGGGGTGGCAGCAATGACGGGCGTCTGGGAGACAGTGGGGGGGACGTTCTGAAAGGGGGTCGCTGGGGAGACAGAGGACACGGCTGCCACTTGCTGTGTACCTTGAAGACAAGGAAAGGAGGCTGAACATTCCAGGCTCTACTAGCCAGACAGAACAAACGCCACACTTCCAGAAGCTTCCTGGACCATACCCCCTCCAGCCAGAGCATACCAGGTGCCAGAGAGCCTGTCCTCCTGAGACTCCTGGCCCTGCACCTTGGCCACCTCCACAGAGCCCGCCTCCACGGGTGCTCACCGAACAAATGGAAGGCCTCGCCCCTCTGGCCAGAGACCACAGTCTGAATGAAGCCAAGCAGCCTGGGAGGTGAAAGCCAGGCCTGCACCCAAGCAACCGGGGGTTAACTCCGAGTCCATCAGTAACCAGTGACCACCCACAGGCCCCGCCTGCAAAGCAGGGTAGCTGGCGGCATTGGCGACCCATCCCTGCCTCTCTTGAGGGCTGGGCCGCCCAGTCAGTCCACTGGGACACACCTCATTCTGGCTTCCCGGACCAGGTAAGACCCCAGGACTCCCCGAGTTAATCCTAATCCCCACCTCACTCGCCGACAGGTGATACAGCCCCTCTCCCATCACAGAGAATACAACACGTGCCAGAGACAAAGTCCTAGGACAGGACAAAGAGACAGGCTGGCTTTCGTCCAGGCTTCCAGGAGAGGTGGCCTCAGAGTCGGGGCCAGGAGGAGGAGCCCGGGCATACAGCAAGACCACAATCTCCTCCCCAGAGCGGGCTCAAAGGCAGACAGTAACAATGTCACCGAGGACCAGCCATGTCTTGAACTGCCTACCGGCCACACACAGCTGAGACCTGGCTCCTGGAGCTCATCTCATCATTGCCCCAACTGCACAGACGGGGAAACTGAGCTCGGAGGGGCCGAGGGCCCCACAGAAGAGACGCTGTCATCAGCACCCCAGCCCATCTGCCCGGGGGCCCAGGACAGGATGACCTCACCTGTCCACCCTGTTACCTGCACTCTGGGTTCCCGCAGCCGGTTTCCGGCCTTTGCCCTTTGGAGCAGGGGGTAATAATTCAACTTCCTCCTGGGGCATCTGGGCCACTTTCTGCAGAAAAATTTTCTCTAGGGCTTGGGCCATGAGCACTATGTCATCTGTGGGCTGAAGACACAGAGAGCCGAGGTTAGGTGTTGGGAACAGAGCCGTGCACTTGCAAAAGATATCGCCAGGTGAGGCCCAAGAGAACCTTTATTTAAAAATTTGCTAAGAGATCTGATGGGGCAGGAGGGAGGCAAAAGAAATACATTTTAACGTGGAAACTCTTGGAAGAGTTCAGAAAAGCACAAATAAAAATCACCCTTCATCTCATCACACGGAGAAAGAGAGCCTTCAACTCCAGATTCCCACTCATCTTTATCACGTCACCACTGAGAAGAAGCCAGACACCCACTGAACTGGGATGGTATGGAGCCCCCTAATCTGCTCCTCTCACTAAAAACCAGCCTGTGGACGATTCCCCTTGTTGTGAAGTGTTCTACGTCATTCTGGGCAGCTGCACGTGGATGTCACAGTGGATTCCGCCGATCTCTGACGGCTGTGCGTGTCGTGCGGTAAGTTTCCACCAAGGTGAGCCTGTACGGATTCCTCTAGCATTTCTAGAGGCGGGATTTCTGGGTCCAGGGCTACGGACCTTTTAACGTATTTGATACATGTTGGCTCCCTCTGAAAAGGCTGTTTCAATTATCACTCCCTCCAGAAGGGGATGTGGGCCCACGCCAAGCAATAACACTTGAGACAGGCCGTGTGCAGGAATCGCACGTGGGCACCGTGGCCGGAGAAGGGCTGAGCGTGAGGCTGTGATGTGCTCTGAGCCCGTCTGAGAGCTGCTGCAAAATGCCTGGCCCAGCTGGCACCGGCCTCTGCCCAGAGCAACGCAGTCCCAATGAGGGTCCCAAGTGTGCCACCCCAGCCAGAGCCGCCCCTGGGATGGCACTTTACCCCTGCAGGTCTCCCCTGGGCCGGTGGGCAGCACACAATGGCACCTGGGGCCCTCGTCACATGATTTTCTTACCTTGTTATAAATATAACAATTTGTAAACATGGTATTGAAGTCCTGCATACATTCGCTTGCGCTCCAATAATAATTATTTTCTAGTCTCTTCTTAATCGTCCCCATATCCATTGGGTTTTTTATTATCTTATGATAATCCTAGGAGAGAAATGTTCAGAGGCCTTACTAATGGATTCAACACCATTATTTTTACAATTCCCAAGCACAGTGATTGTACACAGTGGTCTTCTTGGGTGAGCTGGGTCCCGGGGCTGGGCCAAAGGTAGTTTCTGGTCATCGAGGGCAGGTGGGTGTGTGGTCTGGGGCGAGCACTCGGCCAGCTCCTGACTCCTGCCAACCCTCGCGCCTGACAAGGATTCTGTGTGGAGGGGAGGTTCCAAGAGACACACAGAACCAGGGAGTGGGGAAGACCCTAGCGCTGTCTACACTCTGGAGATGGGTCCAAGTCCCCTCCTGGATTCCCAACCTCGCTCAAGGGCCTGCAGGTGACCGGCGGCCGAGCTGGGCCCAGAACCCAGGCCACCACGTGCCGGCCCAGGGCTCCCCTGGCATCACTCAGGGCTCTATTTGGGTCTAGAGAAGAAAGCCACCAGACGGTCAGGTCAGCACTGAGCATCCAGCTGGGGCGCCGTCCCCCAAAAACGTGCCCCACCCCACACTGAGCATCTGACCTCGAGGGCAGGAGGGTACACAGGGACAGAATGAAGACACAAGGGAGCCTCTGCTCTGAAGCCCCATCACTGTCAGTCCCTGGTCCCCATGCTCTTCTACCCAGGAGGCATGTATCTCCCTACTCCCTGCACCCTGTGCACCCAGGGGGCAGCTGCCCTCCATTCTCCCACACCCCTCTGCTCCTTGGTCACTATGGGCCCTAGGATGGCAGGCTCCTGAGGCACAGGCTATGCCTGTTTTCCCAGCACCAGCCGCATCACGGGCACCACCTTCACTAAAGCCAGAAGAGTCAGGGCAACAGAAGGGCGGGGGATGGCAGCAGGGAGTGGGGACTCACTGGCAGGTTCAGCTTGATTGCATCCACGGGCTGGTAGAAGGGCCAGGCGAACTGATGCTTCCAGAGCGTCTTCACCACCACATTCTGCATGTACTGCAGCTGGTTGGTCTTGCGGCCGGGCTTGGCGGGGTTGGAGACCTCCGGCGGGGGCGGGTTCACGGGGCCCGGGGCTGCCGGGATCCCCGCGGGGGCGACCGTGGCCGTGGTGGACATCCTCCAGCTGCTCGCTCACTGGCCGTCACAGCAGCGGCTCGGGGAGGCCCTCACTTCCTCTGTGCTCCTCCCAGAGGCGCGACGTCCCATTTCCGGGCCCAACCAAGCAGCACCTACGGGGGAGAGGGGATGGCAGAAAAAGGCCAGTCAGCCCGAGCCCCAGCCTCGGCGGGCTCCCCTGAGCACACCCATGGGGTAATGGCGAGGCCGGTTCAGCTCGCTCGAGCCTCTCAGCTTGGTCAAGGCAACCCTCACCTGTCACAGAACCACTCTGTAACCACCACTCTCAGGCTGGGGGAGGAGAGACGCAGGCGACGGGGGATAACGTGAGCACCTGCCTCCCAGGCAGGTGGACAACTGCACTGGCAGGAAGGCGGCCGTCCACGTGGGGGCCACGCACGAGGCCACTCTCACTCACTGCCCACCAACCGCCTGTCTGCTGGGGACCGACTTGACACTGTTCTCGACCTCGGCAATTTTTTAGGGAATGATTCACACGTAGAGAGCTACGACATCGACCCGACACCGACAGAGCCGAGCCCCTCTCGAGTGAGGCCGCCCGCCGAGCGAGGTTCTAACGTAACCATGAGAACCTGCTCTGGGTTTGTGATGACGGCCAGGCTGTGACACAGCCAGCGCTCGGCCAATTGGGAGGGCAGCAGAAGGCGGATCTGACCCTAGACGCTCAGTAAGTGTGTGTGGGTGGGGGTGGGGGGCTACTGCAGACCTCACCCCAGCCCCCGCCGGGCTTTTGGAAATGCTCTCTGAGCACAGAGCTGGAGAGCAACAGGCCACTGCAGCCCTGCGTGTCATCAGATGACGACCAACTAGAGCCTAGATGAGCATGCACAGTAAAACAATGAACAGGCCACTTTGACACTGAAGTCCCCACCATCTCTCAGGAGAAAGCCAGTGGCCCCGCCTTTACGTGTGGGACACAGAACAGACTGGGGGCTGCACGCAGAATCTTCCCTCTGAGGGGCATGCGAGCACTCTGCTGCACTGTAGGTTTTTACATGTACTTGTCATAATGTCAGATGGGAGGAGCTAGGTGGCAGCCGCCAGAGCCTGGCGCAAACCTGGGTCCTAACGCCTCGCTGCCCCACCTCCATCCCCGGCGGGTCAGCAAATCCAAGCATAGCCACAGTCTGACCACGTCTGGCCCCAGCACCGCCGCCTCCTGCTGGAACCTCCGTGAAGCCCGCTGTGGGTCTGCCCTTCCCTTGATGGACGGTCTAGCCTCCACAGCAGCGGTGGTCCAACTCAAACAACCCCAGTCAGATCAAGTCACTGATTAGCTCAAAACCCTCTGGCGACTCCATCCGGCTCAGCGTGAGAGCATGGTCCCAGCTCTGACCTGCAGGGGCCAACGTCACCTGTGACTCTGCTCCCTGCCAGGGCCGCTGCAGCCTCCCTTGCTGGGGCAACAGGCTAGTACCCTCGCCTCCTTCAGGTCTTTCTGCTCCAATGCCACCGCCTGCCAGGGCCTCCCGGAACCTCCTGGAATGTCCCAAACCCTGGACAGCTCAGGGCTGCAGAGCAGACACTGGGGCCAGCCTCCCCATCCCAATCCCAGCTCTGCCCCTCGCCAGCCATGGGATCCAGTCCCCCTCTGTCCCCCCAGGGCTCTTGGAGATGAAAAGAGTCAAACACACAGAGCACTCAGGCTGGCGGTGGACAGGCACTGATCACCACACAGTTCCACTATGACCACTGCGACGGGTCCCTGGAGCTCCAGGAGGGAAGGACGTGGTGTGTCCCTGCTGCCTCCCAGTGCCTAGAAGACGGCCTAGGGCACCGTTGTGGGTCCCCAGGTGTGGGGCAGTGGGCGAGCTCCCAGTACCTGGTGCTCCTGCACGGCCCAGGGAGCCAGGGAACGGGCAGAATGCAGCCAGGGGCTGAAACTGACCTGCGGGGACACGGGGCCCACAGCTGCTGGCCACGCACAGGCCAGTATCCTCCAAGCACAAGGATGGACAGAAATGGCTCGCTGCAGGGACGTGCTTATGCTGCCCTCAGGACAGAGGCCTCGCCATCTGCCTCCCTCCCTCTTCCAACCACCGACCCACACGGCTCCAACCCACCGCTGAGCAGGAAGCCAGCTCCAGCCACAAACACGGAAACGCATCCCTCCACCCAGGGGTGAGTGCCCGCCGGCAGCACGGCAGCCCAGCCTGGCCCAGCAAAAGCCAGGAGGCTGAGCCTGGCACAGGTACTTACAGGGTGATCCCACATGACGCAGACAACCCAGCTGCCTGTTTCCAGGGGAAACACCGCCAGCTCCAGTGGGTCTGTGAGGCTTAGAGGGGACACGAGCTAAGAACTCCTGGCATGCGTCCTGCAGATGGATGCCCCACAACCCACGGGGGCTGCACACGGTGACGGGACACCCTTCTCTTCTGCAAACATGAATGCCACCCCAACACCTCCACTGAAATGGGGCGGGGGGCACCCCACGCTCTCAGACCCCTGCAAAAACAAGAGGATGACCGTGGGGGCCTGGTGTCCTCCGTCAGGGTGGCGGCGCACGGCCCTCCCCCACAGCAGAGACAGGCGGGGCAGCCCTCCCCTGGCCTCACAGCTGCCTCCTGGCTTGTGCTCTGTCCCTGGCAGCCTGGGCACCAGCTCGACAGGGAGGAAGGAAGAGCTGCCAGAGCGTGAGAGGCTGGGGCCCCCCACAAGCCCCTTCCATCCCAGGCACCAGGACCCACCTCCCGGGAAGAGCCGTGCCGGCTCTGGATGGGCAGGACCCCTCTCCAGCAGGAAAACACCCCCGGCTCCCAGAGCTGCCCCAGGAAGGGAGGGAGGCAGGCTAAAAGATGGGCTCCCTGACCATAACACTGCACAGGCCACCCCGAGCTGTCCCCTCTAGGGTCGGGGAAGAGTGCAGAGGTCACATCGCTCCCTGCTGGAGCATGCACGTCCTCACCCTTCAGACGGAGCCCAGGCTGAGGGCTGGTCACGTCCACAGTTGCCTGTCCTCAAAGCGCAGCAGACGACGAGTCTCGGGCGAGCAGAGCTGCAGCGGGTGCCTGGCCTGCCTTCCCCTCGCTGCCTCTCCAACCAGACAGACACTGAATAACCCAGAAGATGTCTGTGTGCCGACACCACAGACGCGGACCGCCACAGACACGGACAAGAAGGACACCCACACCGACTTGGGAAGTCCCCACCAGGAGGCAGGGAGGTGACGGAGAAGCACCTCCTGGGACCCCGGGAGAACAGGGTTGTCACTTTCTGCTTGGGTTTCTGAATGGGCAGATTTTTTTTTGTGGAACATGCTATGTTTGCAAAAAGAGAAGAGTGTAAAGGATTAATTTCTATTTTGAAAAAATGCTCAAACACAAACCAACCAACCACGGCCGCCTCAGTCAGCCCAGGCTCCCAGTGGCTCGGAGCCTGTCTGCCCTCCTCTGAGGCCTGGGGACACTGCCCCGAGCAGCCCAGAGAGTTCCCTGAGGGGGAAATCCTGGGGCTGCAACACCCCCAAAGTCTGGGCTGGCCCTCAGCAGGGCTGCCAGCCCCGGGGCTCCAGTCGGCCACTCCCGCATCGCCCAGACCGCTCGAGAAATCCCAAGAGAGCTCACTTGTCAGGGCAGACCCCAGACACGGAAACCACGGGCGGGCCGCCCACAGCTCCCGCCGCTTGGGCTGGCGACACGCAGAGCAGCTGTGCTGTCCGTCAGCTGCCCCCGTGTGGGTGGGGGATCAGGGCCACATTTCGAGACCAGGAAGGCAAATGCTGCTTCCAGAGAGAAAGGAAAACTCAGACTGCTAGCTGACCCTCTCACGGGGTTCAGGCCTGAAGTGAAAATCAGCAACGGACAAAGCTGCAACGCAACGTGGAGGTTTAAAACAAGATGGAGGTAAGACGCGTGGAAAAGCCCAACTCCAGCTCCTGGGGTGCCCCATGGACCCCCGCAGTGCCCGTGGTCTCGTGAACGCCCAGGGTGCCCGCCTGTCCCCCACGGTGCCTGGCGATCCCCGGAGTTCTCAGGAACAGCCCTGTGACGAGTCTGAGAGTAGGGCAGACACCATCAGCCAGCACCCACCTGCTCGCCTCGCCCCGTGGCGGGGGACACGCTCTGACACCGTGCCTCGCAGCCCCACACTCCAGCCCAGACCTCACTGGCTGCCCTCCTGGATGAGGCCGGGGTTAGCAGACTGGAGAAAACACCAAGAAAAAGGTGGGTGGTCAGCCACGGCCACAAGCCGTTCACCTCTGCTGCGGGTGAGACACCCACGTGACCCTATGAGGTCAGACTCACGGTGCCCATTGCACAGACTATGAAGCTGAGGCTCCTCCATCCTCAGGGTATTTCCTGGGCCCACCCGTGTGGGGATTCGGGGACATAAGCCCAGGACCCTGTGCCTTCCTGACCTGGCTCCTGGCAACACAGGTGACCACGGGCCGAGAGGTCCCAGTCACTTAAAAAACAAGATGGCCCTGCTGCCACCTGCCGGCAAGGACACCAGGTGAGAAGCCTGGGAAGGGGCTGCCCGGGCCAGCAGCGGCCCTCCTACAGGCCCAGGCCTGAGTCTAACGGCTGGCTGGAGACGTGAAGAGGGCTGCGCAGAAGGGCAGTGAGGAGCGCCCAGTGGGGTCTGCCACGCCAGGGCTCAAACCCCGGCTCCCCCTCCCTGGCTGACCTCCCTGAGCCCGGGGTCCCAGCTGTAAAATGAAGAGTGCCCAGCACAGCCGTCACCTATCGAGTGCCCCCAGCCCCACCCTGTGGACCAGATGAGGTGTCACGGCTTCCCATCCACAAGGACGTGGGGGGCCAGGGACATCCCGGCTGAGGGCTAGAGAGCTGGGAGACACTGGCCCCTTGGGCTGGGAGGAAAGGAGGTATCCCTGGTTCTGAAGCCATCTGGGGAGGGGACGCAGCACAGCAAGAGGATGGGACCAGAGCCCGAAGGTCACCCTCATCTGGGTGCCATGTGGACAAAACGAGGTCACGCTTGGGAGGGGACCCAGCATGTGCAGATATTTAACATGTCTGCCCAACACAAACACAGCCGTCCACCTCTCCCAGCCTCCACATCCCAATGGACCAGAACCAGCCCTCACTCCCCTCCCAGCTCCACGTGGTCCTGGCTGAAAGCCTCAATCCGCCCAGCTGAGCCGACCTGGCCAGGAGCTGGGAACCAGGCAGAAGAGAGGACATACACGAAGACAGAAGGAGCACTTCCACCAGAGAACAAGGGGACACCTGCTTCTCCCACAGCAGCTCAGCCCCCCAGGCCTGGGGTCTGAGGGAACAAGGGATGTCCCAGCCCCTCCCCTCAGCCATGCCAGGCTGAAGAGAAACGCCCAGGTCCCGCCTGGGGACAGTAGCCTGGCTGCCCTGTCTGCCCTGCCCGCCTGGCCTCTCCGGCTGGGAGTAGAAGAAATGGGCAACTGCTATAGGGGCCAGTTGGCCCTGGTCCTGCATGCACTGCCGGAGAACCTCCACCACCTTCTCCTCGACGGAAACAAAGGCAAACTCAGAGTGGGGGCGCCAGAGGGTCCAGCTCCATCCCGTGGTCCAACCCTGTCGTGGCTGGGTGAGGACACCAGGAGGGGGTCACAAAAGAGAAAGCCTGGCTGGGACCCCATTTCTCAGGGTCCCTCGTCAGCCCATGGCAGCACTTCCTGGGCGCTGGATGCAGACAGGGAAACCGAGGCCCAAGGCACTCAGAGCTCTCACCACGGCGCCCCGCTGGCTCTCGGGACAGGCGCTGTCCTCCAGGGGGCACGGAGGCCCTTTGGCAACCAGGGCTCCCCCGCAGACAGCTGAGAGCTGGGGACACCTGACCTCCCTAAGGCCCCAGCACCCATCCCACTCAGGACACGAGCAGCCAGCGACCAGAAGCGAAAGGACCGGGAGCAATCGCCATCACCAGGGCCACGGCTGAGGCCTCGCAGGGCTGGCCAGAGCCGGACGCCACTCATCGTCTGTCTCTCCTCGGAGCCGGGTGTGTTGGCACCAAGAGCCTTTTGGATTTCAGGACCCGGCGAGTTTCAGAAACCAACCCGTGTGTGTTGGGGGGCGTCTCTCACACATACCCCACCCCCAGGGTCTGAGAGAACATCCCAAATCAAATACAATATTATGCAGGGAAACATCGAATGTTCCTCCTGAGGATACATAATGACCACAGACAGCCTGTGATCAGCTGCAAAAGAATTAGGGAAAAGGCTCTATCCGCAGAGCTTTCTGGTGTCGGGGTTGGGAGGGAGGATGGTGGCCCAGTGACAAGGAAGGCTGCCGGTCGCTGGGGACCGCTTGTGTGCCCAGCCCAGGAACCCCCCATAGGGTCCCCCATGTTGCATGGAGGGAGGACAGGCCAGAGCTGGCCCCGTTTCGTGGTCCAGCAGTCGAGGGGCGGGCGAGGGCTGGTGGTTGGTGGCGCCCGGACTCCAGCACCAGTGCCCCAAGCCAGTCTGCAAGAAACGCTTGCTGAAAAGTGAACCAAGGGGCGTTGACTTCAATACTATTTGATGATCTTCAGATTCAATGTTAATACTTTGGGGGTGACAGCGGTATTGCAGTTACAGTTTTTTAAAAGCCCTTATCTTTTAGAGAAAGGCATTGAAAGTCTTATGAATGAAACATGTCTGGAGTTTGCTTCTCAGTGATGGGGGGTTGAAAGTGAGTGGGGGTCTGGAGGAGTCAGGACCAGGAGTGCTCAGGGCGGAAGCTGAGCACCCTGGGGGCTACGTACTGTGCCCCCACCTGCCCACATTTGAAAGCCCCTATGCCACCAAAAGGAAGAGGGTGAATCCCCCTTTTCCTTGAGTGCTCAGGACCCTGTGTCCCCCACCCCCGCAGCAGCTGTGAGATCCGGGGGACATGACCTTGCTCCCCATGCCCCTCGCCTGGCAGGGAAGAAGACCCCCGTGGCGGGCAGGTCAGGTGGAATAACCCAGGACTGTGGGGAAATGCGGGTACCCGAAAGGCCCCAGCACCTTAAGATTAGACACAAGAAATATAAAATCTACTAGCTCCAAAGTCTGCTCTTCACCTCCACCTGCCCCTGGGGGGACCGGGGTCGGGGGAGCCTCATCTTCTGCGGATAAACACACAGGAGCAAGACGTGCAGCTTGACCTCAGCGGCCTCAGAGCCCGCAGGTGCACCTAACGCCAGCCGGGCTGGAAACCAGTCTTGAGAACGAGTGCCTGAGGTTTGTAAGTACACGTAACGCAGGGGCAGTGAACCTCACTGTTAAGCCGCCCGTGGTAGAGGAGCCTTCAGCATCTGCTCCCGGGCTGTCGGCGTCTGGCGCTCACCACAAACCGGCACCCGCTGGCAGCCGCGTCACTGCAGACAGCTACTTATTGCAGACGCATCCCTGCGCGGGCAACCGTCCCGGCCTCATCGCAGCCCTGCAGGGACGTGGCGCTCCCTTCGACTCTGGGCTGCGCACGGCAGGGATGGAGCTCGGTGTCTCAGTGGGGAGACTGAGGCTCAGAGAACCTCCCCTCCTTCCCGCAAGCTGCCCGCCAGGACAGAGAGGCAGCACCTGCCAATCTGGGTGAAAGTCAGAGTGAAGAGACAATCTGCCTGTGACACGAGAAGATCTTGAAACTGCCCAGAGCGGAAACTCAGACAAACCACAAAAGCCCTCGAACACCAAGCAAAAACCCAGAGATCTGGGGTTCTGGCGGGATGCTGAAGAAGGGCCCAGAACGTCAAACGGGAAGTTTCCAAAGTAGGCAGCCAGCAGGGGAGGGTGGGGGACACTGACCCGTCCCCCCCGCCCGACCCCAGGTTACACAAGCTCCACTCCACGAGGGGCTCGGTGCTGCCCTTTGAGGGACAGGAGAGGCTGGCCTGCTGGGAGGGCCCCGAGCACGCCCAGCCCGCTTCCCACACGCCAGTGGACAGGTGAGGTGCCCCCAGTCTCCCGGGCTGTGGGGTGGGGGCTGTGGGCCATCTCTCTTGCCCCTTCCCCAGATCCTGGACCGAGTCTCCACGACCCCCCTCCTTCCTCCACGGAGAACTGGAATCCCACATAAAATGCAGAAATCCAGACCCCTGCAGGTCGCTCAGCCCAGAGGGACACATCAGGGCAGAAGCTCTGGTCCAAAGCTATTCAGGGTCCCTGGACAAATGGGAAGGAGTGGTGACCTCTGTCCAGTCGCCACTATGGAAAAACACCGGCATTCCCACCACAGCGCCGAACCACAGGCAGGACCGCAGACCGGCGCACCTGGGCCTCCTGGGCAGCTGGGACCCCGAGGGGTGGTGGGGGGATGTGGGCCTCCAGGTGCTGGATGGAGGGGCAGACAGACGCTCACTCACCAGTACCTCCAGCCACGGGGGAGGATGAGGTGGGGAAGGTAGGCAGGGGCCTGGACCACTGAAGGGCAGGGGTCTGAAGAGGACGCAGACTGAGGGGTGGGGGTCCTCAGGAGGCTCCTACCCTGGGGGCGTCTGAGAGTCTGGGGGGAACCCTGTGGCATGTCCAGGGAGAAGAGGAGGCACGTGGGGGGCACCAACACTGAGGGAGTGGTCAGAGGTAGGAAGCAAGCCAGGGACTGAGCCCCCGATATCAGTCCGAGGGCCCGGGGAGGGGGAAGGGGCCGGGCCCACTCTCGCCTCGGCCTCCCCTCTTGCCCTGGTTAGATCCACCGTGCACACCAGCAACAAACACCAGCCTCCTGAGCAGGTGGGGGTGGGCTTCCTCTCCATTCCCCGAGAGGGTCTGTATGCCCCTGGGGCCCCACTGCCACACTCCAGCCCCATTTCCTGTGCCCTGTCCTGGCGTGGCATCGCTGGGGGTCACGCGAGCTCCATTTTCCAGGTGGGGACGGAGGCTCAGAGGTGAAGGGGCAGAAGGTCACCTAGCCAGAAAGAAGCAGGGCCGGGCCTTGAACAAGGCCATCCACTCCACATCAAAGACTCCCCGCCACTGGCTGGGAACCCCACCACAGTCCTGCAGAGACAGGGAGCCAAGTGCCGCCCCAGGGCCAGGCTTAGGGCGGCCACCCCAGCTCCTCTGCCCCCAGGCAGCCAGGCCAGCCTCTGCAGCACACCGCTGACCAGCGGCCACCCCGGGCTAGCCCTCCAGGCCTCAGGAAACCGGATCCGTGAGGGCAGGGCCGGCATCAGTGACAGAGGAAGCCAACTGCCTCCATCTGTGGGGCCAGCGAAGGGGGCCCAGGGCAGCCCTGCAGGGGGCTCCAAGCAAGGGTGGACAGGCAGGGGGGCCCACCACCCGCTGGGACCTGCTGGCCGCCGCCTCCCACCCACTGCGCACACTCTGGGCCCATGCACACCCTGTCCAGGCAGGGAGCAGTGCCACCATGGCTGCCACCGAGTGGCCTCTGCCGGGAGCACCGCGGCCCGGAGCTCACCTTGGGTCTAGATCACACCTGCTCTCCCACAGCAGGGGACCCAAACCACGGCAGGCCCAGTCCCATCAACGTGTGGGGCACTCCTCCACGACTGTCCTAAGGCACTGGCTGGCCTGCACGTGGACCTGCAGCCGTGGTCCCCTTCCTGACGCCCCAGCACGTCCCCTTGGCTCTGCCCCAGCGGCACCTTGAGGACCGAGCACCTAATGCTCCCCATGCTTTCTCAATCCAGTTTGTCCTAATGTCTTACCTTCTCTCTGCCCCACCCACCCAGCTCGGGGAGCCAGCCTCTGACGGTTTCCTTTCTTGTTGGAATGTCAGTCTCAACCCAGACCCCCAAGACACCAGCTACACCGGGCGTCTCCAGCCCTGCTGAGCGGGGCTCACTGTTCCCCGTGGGGGCCAGGCCAGTCGCACCCCTCACCTCTGCGAGGCTCTGTCCCTACCCGCCTTTCAACCTCCCCCCAAGAAAATCAACAGAAAGAACACAGACACTACAGCAGCAGCGTCTCTTGGGTATAAAGCCCCGGGAGGCTGTGGGGAGAAACACACCTCCACCCTACTCTCAGAAATGCTGAGTTCTGGCCCAGATACCTGGCAGGCCAGAACCTGGTGTCATTCCTCTGGGAAGCCCCAGTGACCCCTACGTGCACCCTTGCAGGGCACTTCCCCAAGGCCAGGCCAGCTGTTGCATTGATGACCCCTCCACGGGACTGGGAGGGGCAAGAGACCCACAGCTTGAAGGGGAATGACTTCAGGGGACACAGTGAGAAGGATGGTGTGACTAGTGTGACACTTGGTCCAGGAGAGGCAAAGGGAGGCCATCCTCCCTGGGTCAGTCTGCCCTGCAGAGGATGCTACAGGTCAGCTGGGCATGCACACTTATGGGGGGTGGGGGCGGTCCCGTGTGCAGCAAGGCTTCGCGTGCCTGTGGCTCCACTGACTCTGGTACTTTCTAGAACAAAGCTGCAGTGGAGTCGACCTGGTGCTGGGTGCTGCCCACGGCGCTGGTCTGCTCCACCGCAGGAAGGGAGCCGGGCGTGCCCCAGAGCCTCTCTCCTCTTAGACGCTGAACCAAACCCACGTCTTCACCGTGCACGATTTACAGACCACCACCACCCTGGGCCGTCAGGGACCGCGCTCCAGAAGCACAAACAGGAGTCTGGAAAGGTCACTGCCGCTCGCGACAGGGCTCCGAACCCACTCTCCCCACGCCAAGCCCATATGTCTGCCCAGCGCGGCCTTGACTTTCCTCTCTAGACCTGTCCCCTCCAGATCGTACAGAGTGAGGGGGGCACCTCCTGAGCATCTGGCCATCTGCTCATCGTAGCATCCACTCACCATCCACCTGCTCAGTGGTGGGGTCCAGACTCACACCAGGCCCAGCCCTTGTCCCATCACTGCCCATGCGAACAGGACATCTTCCCACTCACAGGCCAAAGCAGGTGCATCAGCAACCCCGAGCAGGAGAAAACCACCGAGTTGCACCAGTCACTGTGTTCCAAACCCGGCCAAGGAAATGGCCGTCCCCTCCAAGTCTCTCTCCTCCTGCCAGGCCTCATCCTCGGACCCCTGGCAGTGGTCCTCAGGAGACCTCTTACCCTATTGTCCCACTTCACAGATGGGAAATGAGGCTGAGAGAGCAGAGGCCTGGGGCTGCGAGGCCTCGGAGCCGAGATGTAGGGACCGCAGGCCACAGCCCCGTCCCGATGTTGGGAGGCAGCTGGCCCTGCCCACCCCTCACTCCAGCTGCCTCTGGGGATCAACAGCAGGATGGGCAGGCTGAGGCACAAGCCCAGAGTAGGACCCAGGAGTGTCCAGGCCTGGGTAAATCAGGGCCTTGTTAGGCTCTCATGGGCCCCCCGACACACACACACACACACACACACACACACACACGCACGCACGCACGCACATCCCCTCCTGCCCTTGGGAAGGCTGCCCGGAGCCTCAAGGCCCTGGAGAGAGAATGGCACCCTCTCCGAACACAGGGAGTGCAGCCAGGCGGCCCTGCCCTGCTGCCCACCACTGGGGTTAGCCTCCCCCTGGGGTGGCGATGCCCACCCACAGGCTCCCAGAGGCTGGGCACCTGTCTCACCGTTACTGAGAATACCATCCACCAGTGAGGGGTGTCACTACAGCCCAAGCACGTCCTGCAGGCTTGACTCACCGTCGCCCCTTCTGCCCCTGTGACCAGTCCACAGGTGGGTTCCGTCAGCCCAGGTGACAGTCACACGGTCATCCGTGTCTCCCCACCCCACACCCACAAACGGCCACAGCCCGGAGGCAGCTAAGACAACAGAGCACAGAGAGGGTGTGTGCCTTATCTGTGAGTCCACAGCCAGCAGGGCCCAAGCTCTTAACGCCCAGCTCCTGGCACTGGGCGGGCATCGCGAGTGCCCGTCAATGCTCTCAGGGCTCCGTCTGACGGTGCGAGAGATGGGGGTCAGCTGGGGGCTGGAGAGCACTCCCTTCCTGCAGACTCATACTCGCCCCTTCTCTCCCTTTGCACCCACGTGTCCCCCCACCGCCCGGCGACACTGTCATGCCAGCGCTGGCATGCCGCACTGCACAGGGAGGGCCTACCCCAGGTCCTCTTCCTTCTGGGACCACACGAGCAGGGTCCTGCCGGTTGGTGCTGCGAATGCGCTCGGTGCTGTGTACGTGCTCCTGCACGTGGGCAGCCGT